GTTCAATTTTATTTCAATAATTCGCTTGCGCGTAGGTGTCTTTAGCCGTGGGAGGAAACCGGAGGACCCGGAAAAAACCCACGAGGTTTGACAGGCGACCCTACTCCTTGTCACGTACAATCGGGGAATGGAAATGCCAGACCGGCTGATACAACACGTTAACTATTCGGCCACCAAACCCCCTGATAGCATTATATTTTCACTTGTACATTGTCCAAACTCGTGGGTTTTCTCCGAGACCTCCGGTTTCCTCCCACTGCTAAAGCCCCACCCCTCCTCGCAAGCTAATTATTGAAATAAAATTGAACCATATGCTAATCACGAAACGACCTAGTTTGTGACGAGTGGACGTTAAACATCTCTCTCTCTCTCTCTCTCTCTCTGTGTTGTATGCTGCCTGTGGTGGATGTAATGATACAATAAAATCTTATCTAATACACTCTAACAAAGGTTAGGTTGTGTATGAGCATGGTGGGTGGTGGGGGATATAAACGTTACCACAATATATTGTGGGTAGGTGAGAATAGCGCCCCATATCTCAGGTACAAATGAAATTATTTGATCTTACCTGCTCAGTGTGAAGTACTATCACACCTTCATCGATGCTAGCACCTTTTAAGTTATTTTAAAACCCTACTATATCCAAATATTGTCAGTCGTTACAATCCAGGATAACAACACGATAGTAATAAACACTATATGACATGTGTCGAGACGTGCACTAACCACTTGACATTACATCACAAAATGTAACACGATATTAAAGGATAATTAAAATATAATATTAAATGGTGAATAAAACCCCTTCATTTCTTCTTCTCAGTTATCTTACAATCGTATAAACTCACTTTTCATACTAAATAACTAGATATATCGCTAACAAGGAAAGGTGTTATAACTAAGAGGATATACTCCCACGTTATATATATATATACACCAGGTAATGACATCACATGTTCTCTCACGGGTCCGCAATAACTGATATAGTCACTAAGTAACGATCTCAAGCTCTAATTAGCAAGTAATTAATATCTAATTATAGAAAAACTGATCAACTGATTAAATGTCTCTCCTTGAAAATCCCCCCTTCAAACTTTATCACTCCCCTACCTTACCGTACCCTACCCCCCCCCCCCCCCCCCCTGCTCGGCTACATACATTTTTTTGTAAATCAACACTTTTTATGAGAAAGGTTTCTCGGCCGTGTGCTTTATCCTTTATCGTCAGATTTGGGACAGGATGGGCACTCAAAGCACGAGATAATGATATAGACATTATGTGATATCACAATTAACGTTTTGCATCCATGAAATTGAATCACAAAGTCATTGTATTAATTCATAATAAAAATTGACGTCAAACGAGGTGTTGAATTTCTCTGTTTAAAAAGCTCAATGTGTATGTATATATGCCAAAATGACGATAGAGACCAAGCGGGAGGGGGGGGGGGAGATACATTGTCTCAGGAACATGACCCCCCCCCCCCCCTGCAAAAATTCCTGGATCCGCCCCTGCAACCTTATCCAAACTCCAAAATCCAAGGGTCCCGCTCGCCGAACCACCATATCAAAATTCCCGCGCTTACAGACCCCCCACAAAACAATGTATTTCGGGGCGATCATCAGCATCAAATTTTGCGGACACTGGCTAATTGATGAAAAATAAAATATTAGTGGTTATATAAGGATAAATGTGAAAATTATTCCATTCCGCAAAAATAAGTGCCCGAAATCCGGGACTTTAAACTGACCATTGTGTTTCAGGAAATCACAGTTCCAGAAAATTCACCCCGCTAGGCCCAACTTGCCGTTATTTTTCGAGATTTTACTGGTAATTTTGTGGTAAAGTTATGTAGGGTCATCGAGCACTGCCGCCATATTTTTCGGGCAAACATGATACAGCCCTTCCCCACCCCAAGCAAAGCTCGGTAGCTGTGTAATCGGGACCCTCAAAAACGTTCCTCTTTAGTTATGCTTTTAGGGACACCACCAGGGGCCGCTGTTCACATCACCACACTGTGCCGCGCTTCGACCTCTAGCTGGCCGGTCACCTCTGGCTTGCGGCTGTGGTTTCGATCCCTGGTGTCAGCGTATGTGGCTTGGAGATGGGGGCGCCTTCTCAACCTCTTGGGTTTACTCCGGGTACTCCAGTTTCCTCCCACAGGAAAGACCTCTGCGTGTGCGCTAAGATAATGAAATGAAAAATAAGACTTGTCTACGATATCACCTTTGGTGGAAGCGGACGTTAAACACTGAGAACAATAATGAGCCTTAGTGGCCCAGTATGCGCTGAGTGCCGCTGACTAACCAGGGGGTAGTGGTTCGATCCCGATGTTGGTCGTGAAAGTTTCCCAGGATTTGTCAGTGGTGCAGGACGGACAGCAGGCCATAGTGCACTACATGGCGTATGCCCGTTTTCATTAGCCAGTTGGCACAGAAAAGTAGGACGCTAAACACCATTTCATTTCATTTTCATTTCTGTTTTTTTTTATGATCAGTTCTCAATATCTTGAACTGAAAGTTCCAAGAAAGGTAAATAGGCTATTTCTTGGGATCGTTGGGTTTTGATACTTAAAGATGCATTATGTAAGATTTAGATAATAGTTATAATAGTTCAAAGATAAAAAAGAATGAATATATTGAAAAAAAATCTCATGAATGTTTGAAGTTTTGACAAGAAATAGCGTAAACAGTCCGGATAGTCAAGTACCATGGCTACGATATTAAACAAAGTCTCTATTTCCCATTTCTATACCAATACCTGTAATATAATACGCATGGTAAATATGGAAGACCAAACAGCACTTTATTCGCCGGACAGTGGATAAACAGCTGTTTGGTCTCCCATAGGTATAGCATACATGGTTGATTACAATAATTGCTGGTGCCAGCTAGGACCAAAACACATTGTGCAGTAATCAATTTTTCTTATTCAATACTTTGGTCAGAAACTTGGTAAATACTAAACTATCTAAATAATAACACATACTTATGGAATAACAGCTAATTAATTATTTGGGCTGTTTGGTCTTCCATAGGTATAGCATACATTGTTGATTACAATAATTGGTGCTAGCAAGGTCCAAAGCACTGTAGGCAGTAATCAATTTTTCTTGTTCAATACCTTGGTCGGAAACTTGATAAACATTAAACTATAGAATAACACATACATATGAAAACCCCCCAACTAATTAATAATCTGGGCGAGGTTGATAACGTCGAAACATCGTCCATATAAATAATTAGATGTTTTCCCATTTTAAGTATGTGTTATAGTGTATTGCTCTATCAAGTTACTAAATGCTTTTCAAAGATTATTGATAAATACTGGTAGCCACCCAGTCTATTATCAATACATGTATTATATTGATTGCCTTATTTTCCTTTTATCTTAAAACATACCAATTACATGATATTAGATTTCCAGTGTTTACCGTTTTATGGCCATCATTTCCTTCTTTCAAATATCTTAAAGAGACAATAACACTCTTGCTGGCTTGACAGCTCCAGAAAATAAAAAATAGCCTTATTCTAAGTACTAGATGTGTTAGTGTCCTACCTGTTCTGTAAATTATCCATTAAATCCTATTTTACTTGTCCAAAGGGTTCAAAAATATTTTTGAATCCAAGTCACATTTGAAAAGCTTTACGTAAGGCTTTTCAAATCATTTAGTTGAATTTTTCCAATTTTTTAAATTAGGTGTGTTAAGATGAAATTTGTATCATCAATTAATTGGAATATTGTAAAATAGTACAATTTGTTGACCAGAATAAAGAATGGGACATATTATTCAGTTACAACAAGAGTGGTATTGAGCCTTTAAAGGTATTCTGTAACGTACGTACTGGCGTATTTGACGGGTGACAATCAGATTTAGTAGACAATAATTCAAGTTTAACACTATTTTTCTTATCTTGGTTAAATTGTGTCTTGGGAGAGCAATATTTGTTAGTATGTGAACCGACTATAGTAATGAAGAATTGGTACCAGGTGGGTGAGAAACAGTGATCATACCCTGCCTCGCCCACGACCCATGCTAATACTTCTAGCTAACCATGACATTAGTGGAAACAGGGTGTGGAAAATTCCGGGGTGTTTAGTCAAGTGTGATCACGGCTCCACAGCCCCTATCCACTCAACTATCCCTATCCACCCCTTCTCCCCTCGACTACCACGTCTCGGTATCCCTCGACTACCACGTCCTCTTATTCCCTCTCAACTACCACGACCCCTTATCCCCTCGACTATCACGACCCCATATCCCCTCGACTACCACGACCCCGTATACCCTCTCCACTACCACAACCCTTTATCCTCTCAACTGCTACGACCCCTTATCCCCTCGACTACCACGACCCCGTATACCCTCTCGAGTACCACGATTCCTTATCCCCTTGACTACCACGTTCCGGTATCCCTCGACTACCACGACCCATTATCCTCTCTCGACTACCACGACCCCTAATCCCCTCTCCACTACCACAACCCTTTATCCTCTCAACTACTACGACCCCTTAACCCCTCGACTACCACGGCCCCTTATACCCTCGACTACCACGACCCCTTATACCCTCTCGACTATCACCACCTTATCCCCTCGACTAGCAAGACCCCTTATCCACTCTCGACTATCACAATCCGATATCCCCTGGACTACCACGACCCCTTATCCCCTGGACTAACACTACCCCTTATCCCCTCGACTACATAGAGGCCACCATGGGGCTTTTGTTGTAAAGTCAGTTTCCAAGACCCAAACCCTAACCCTTGACACTGACACAGCCCCGTATCTCCTCAATTGAATACACCTTTAACTGTGTATTTTAAATGTGAGTAACACAGGTGAATTCCGTTAAAAATATCCTTGATCAAGTTTCAGTTCTTTATGTTAAATGCTTTGTGCAACAATATTTCTATATAAATGGCTACAAACAAGGAAAATAAACAACTGATAGAAAAAATATCTCCTGTTTGAAAGATTTCAATGTATAAGTTAATATCCATGTTTTACACGGTTTGTACATGAATTATGGTACTTATGTCTATCTAGTATTTGTATATATTTTTACCTGTGGAGTTTATATAGATATATAAATGGGTAAGTAATAAAATACATTTAGTATATCAAATATTTGTTAAAATAGATATCAGCGATTTGTATTGAAGGCGGGGGTCACGGTGGCTAAGTGGTTAAGACGCTGGCTCGCTAGCCTGGAGGTCTGGTGTTCGATCCCGGCATTGGCCGAGAAAGTTCATCAAGATTGTCAGTGATGCAGGATGGAATGCCTGACAAGGACAGCTGTCTAGTCTTTCGGATGGGACGAAAAACCGAGGTCCCGTGTACACATTGGCGTGCACATAAAAGATCCCTTGACAGTTGAAATTTGATATAAGCGTAGGCCGTAGTGCCGCTGTCCGGGAAAAATTTCCCTCATAGCACACTGTATGGCGTATGCCCGTCTTTATTAGCCCAGTTTGGAGCAGAACAGTAGGACGTTAAACCCCATTTCATTTCATTTATAGTGAAGGTTGTAAATAACTATAACTTATGCATAGATCTTACTTTCAGCTGTTGTATTTTGTTGCACATTTATCATTAATCAAAATCGAAAACGAAATAGTGATGGGTTTTCGCAAGCAAAACGAATTAAACCTCTAAATTTATTTTTATCCGCCGACGAGTTACAGAAAATGGGGTATAAAGTCTTACAAGCCAGGCCAATGGAAATGGGCATACATTGTGTTCTGTGAGGGGAATGTCTCCCGGGCAGTGGCGCTATGTCCTATTCGTAGTTCGCTTTCCAATTTTTAACGTGTCGGTCCTGGGTTGTCGTCCCATCCGAAAGATAACAGAAGGCCGGGAAATCACGAGGAACCTCGCTGGCCAACACCTTGATAGAGTCTTACTCACTGAGCCAACGTGACTCGTATGTTTTAATTTAATTTAAAAATGACAAGCTGGTTATGGAAGCCGTCACGTACCCCCCCCCCCCCCACACACACACACACACACAAACACACTAATTCTTGCCTTCGAATTAAACATACATTGTGCAAGAGCTAAATCTGTCTATTGCAGGTCTTTCTTTAGGCCTGAAATGTTATCTAAATTATTAATTAGACATTAATTAACTTATCCAGACCATAATCAACTCTAGATGGCATCGCTAGCCTGCGATCTTAAGTGGATTTTGATCCGATTTACTGCATGACTTTCCTTCTCGATTAAACGATTAAATGGATAATCGAGACTATGCTGTTTAACGTACTGACTTTAGTAATGATGACCGAGGCTAGGCAGAAATTTCATTCGCTTAGTTCTCGGTGCATAGTGGATCAATTTGAATGAAATTATCAGCAAATTGCCTTTACGTTATCTAGTTTTTAATTATTATAGTGAGAACTGCCAACTCGTTATCGAATCTCCCATAATGTATCTTTAACTAAATGGTCCTAATCTCACTCCTATAAAAAAACTCCATACAAATATTTAAAGTAGACAAGGCGCTAACTCAACATCATTATTGGTCAATTTAAATCAACATTGATGGTGTTATCTTAGCGTGAAAGGATGGAATTCTGATATCCAATACCCAAGACAAAATTAACATTTTAAAATTGGCACACGAATCGCGTGCTAGAATGTTTTCGAGCGCCATCTGTAATAAAGCGACACGATGAACGAGGCTAAACATACCCTATAGGAGAATACTACGGATATAGGCTGGAATAACCAGACGCCAAAGACTGTCATTCAATTTGGACTGTTCGTGTATTTCGCCGAACATAATTAACTGATTAGAAATTACAGTAAAAACAGAAACGATTAAATATAAATCAGTTTATATACATTCATATTTCATTATTGTATGCGTTGCGACCCATTTGTGTCCGTCCCTTTCTAGGTGCCAAAGAATAGAGATTCAGCTCCTTTAACGGGGCTAAATCGCTAATATTTGGGACCTAGAAACGCATACTGGTATAGTGGTAAAATGTATATTTTGTCTTAAATATTGGATAACAGAAGCTCATCTTTTCCCGGTAAGATCACAATATTAATGTTAACACAAGGTACAATTTTATGGATACACAATTACTGAGTTTAATACTAAAATTGTACCTTGTGTTAATACGTTCAATTACTAAATGCCAATCAAAGAAAACATTAAAGATACATTATGGGAGATTCGGTAACGAGTTGGCAGTTCTCACTATAACAGTTAAAAACTAGATAATGTAAAGGCAATTTGGTGAAAATTTCATTCAAATTGATCCACTATGAACCGATAACTAAGCGACTGAAATTCCCATAAGCCTTCGTCATCATTACTAAAGTCAGTACGATAAACAGCATAGTCTCGATTATCCATTTAATCGTTTAATCGAGAAGGAAATTTATGCAGTAAATCGGCTTACAATCCACTAAAGATCGCGGGCTAGCGCTGCCATCTAGAGTTGATTATGACCTGGATAGGTTAATTAATGTCTAATTAATAATTTAGATAACATTTCAGGCCTAAAGAAAGACCTGCAATAGACAGATTTAGCTCTTGCATGATGTATGTTTAATGTTGATTTAAATTGACAAATAATTCGTGTTTGCGAAGTCGAAAACTGTGGATGATATTAAGTTAATGAATGAGCTACTTTAACTGTAAGACTAGGTTACTTTAAACTATGAGTCAGCTAATCATATTTATATTTATTTCCCTTACAATATAATACAACAGGTATGTCACACCAGACTCGTGTCTTGTGTTTTCTAAGGAGTCACTGTTTATAGGAGTCTAGTATTAAAACTTTTCTCTGGTAGGAAGTCAATATGAAAGTAAAAATATGACGAATAAAGGTTATATAATCTTCTGTTTAAAGGGACAATAACACTCTTGCTGGCTTGACAGCTCCAATAAATAAATATTAGCCTTATTCTAAGTATTAGATGTGTTAGTGTCCTACCTGTTGTGTAAATTATCCATTACATCCTATTTTACTTGTCCAGAGGGTTCAAAAATATTTTTAAATCCAAGTCACATTTGAAAAGGTTTACGTTAGGCTTTTCAAATCATTTAGTTGAATTTTTCCAATTTTTAAAATTAGGTGTGTTAAGATGAAATTTGTATCATCAATTAATTGGAATACTGTAAAATAGTACAATTTGTTGACCAGAATAAAGATTGGGACATATTATTCTGTTACAACAAGAGTGGTATTGAGCCTTTAAAGATACACTATAGGAAGTGCAGAGGGGCCGCACTGCACGCAAAACAAAATCTACAAGATCGACAGAATATAGACATTACAAAAAATAAACAAATATCAAATCAAGTGAATGTATCCACTGAGCTGTGCAGTCTCGGGTCTGTAATTGTACAGACTTCACTTAGTTACGTTAAAACGCCATTTCTTGTCAAAACTTCAAGCATTCATAACTTCGTTCAGAATAAATAATTTGAATGAAATTTTCAATATATTCATTTTGATATTATCTATTTTTGAACTATTATAGCAAGAACGACCAGCTCTTTATCTAAATCTTACATAATGATACTTTAAAGAGCATCCGTTTCCTTTAGAAATAGAAACTTCAATAATATTGTCAAATACCCTCCATCCCCCACAAAAAAAAAACCACAAAAAAACCCACCAACGTTTCAAAGCACAGATTTAAATATAAACATTTGCGCATCAAAAGAGAGCGAGCGGCCAGTGTTCGGTGAATATGGCGAGAGAGAGGAAGTTAACCGGGGGGCCCGGAGAAAACCCACAGGCTGGACAGGCGACCCTTCTCCTGGTCAAGTACAAGCAAGGAATCGAAACCGCGCTTCTTGACTCAAAGACATACCTCATGATCCGACACGCACGCGTTAACCAGCCCCACCCCCATTAGACAAACTGCGGACATCACAGACATATGTATCAAATCAAGGGAATGAATCCTGGACAAGGAAAAGGTATCAAGTCGTTTGGAAGGGACGAAAACGGACAAAACGATTAGGTCGAAGCATGTATAGTGTATATATTGTTTATATAATAGTCCGGTGGCTGAAGGGGGGGGGGGGGAATCGCCACCCGAGCTGTGAATTTATGAGACCAAGTTTTTCTAGACCAGTTTTTTGCGTAGATTCCGAATCTAGGTGGTGATCAGGCGTTTGATGGGGCGTTTTCGAGATATAGGGGGTCAAATGCCTACAATGGGGGTGGAGGGGGAGATGTCATTATGTTGACGTAATATATTAATAAAACATAAATTTCTAAGACTGCCATCTACAAATAAGTGTTTATGATGCGCCTGGACATCTGTTTTGATTTGTAGGGAGGTGGGGTGGGGATAGCAGGTGTGTGTGTGTGTGTGTGGGTGTGTGTGTGGAGGGGGGAGGGGGTCATTATGTTGACATAATATATTAATACAACATAAATTTGTAGGACTGCCCATCTTTAAATAAGTGTTTATGATGCCCCTGGACAACTATTTTGATTTGTGTGGAGGTGGGGGGGATGGGGGGGGGGGTTAGCAGGTGTGCGTGTATGGATCGGGGGGAGGGGTACAATTGGCTGGAAGTGAGTTCACGTTGACGATTTTCTTTGAGCTTGGTAAAACATTACTTCTTAATTCCACTGCACATCTCTAAATATGTGTATACAATTACCATTGTATGGGGGAGGGTAAATGTATTTTGGGGGACAGAAACCACTTGGTTCAAAATTGACCTGAGAAGTGTTTTCTCGAGTTTTCGTTCAGTGCCAAAAGAGTTAGTTTATATACTGGTTATATAACATGTTTATACATTAAATACGACTAATGAGCTGTTTAGATAATATGTTTATATATTTTCAGAGTTATATTTGGGATATATATTCTGTTTATCATTAACTACAACTAATGGGTTGTTTATATATTTCAGAGTTAGTTTATATACTGGTTATATAATATGTTTAGATATTAATTACTGTTTATATCATACCAATGAGCTGTTTATATCATATTATGTTTATATATTTACAGAGTTAGTTTATATATTGGCGACAACTACTGGGTTGTTTTTCCTGTTAATTGTTATACTACTTACTGTTGTGTAAGTTGATTTAAAGTTTTTTTTCTGAGTGGGTAAGACGCTGGCTCGCTAGCCTGGAGGTAGCGGGTTTGATCCCGGCATTGTCCGGTATAGTTCATCGGGATTTTCCGACGTAGTTTCTCCTTGTCAGTGGTGAAGGACGGGGGCCTGATAAGGACAGTTGTCTGGTCGTTCAGATGGGACGAAAACCGCGGTCCCGTCTATACATTGGCGTGTACGTACAAGATCCCTTGACAGTTAGAATTCGATATAAGAATAGGCCATAGTGCCACTGCCTTGGCAAAATTCTACTCAGCACACTGCATGGAGTATGGCCGTCTTTATTTGACCAATCGGAGCAGAACAGTAGGACGTTAAACCCCATTTCATTTCACTTCATTTTACAAAGTTTATCATTATACATCTTCGCGTTGTCAATGTATGAAATTAAATAAAATGGTGTTTAACATCCTACTGTTCTGTTCTGTTCCGGGCATACAACATACAGTGTGCTATGAGGGACATTTTGCACGAGATCTATTTTTTGTCCCATCCAAACAACTATTGAAGACAGGTTGTATAGAACGGCGTGTCTGTTAGCATTAAATGCCACCTAGTCTTCCATGCACCAGATCATGTACTTAACAAATTTGTGTTTAACTGTCTTATAATAGGAGATTCAATATAAAAAGGTTAAATAAAGAATCTCAGATAATAAATGACTAGTCCGAAAACAAAACATGTCGGAAGTAAATAAAAAATCAAGAGAGAGAGAGAAATGGGGTTTAACGTCCACTCGACACAAACTAGGTCATTTCGGGACTAACATATGGTTCAATTTTATATCAATAATTCGCTTGCGCGTAGGGGTCTCTAGCAGTGGGAGGAAACCGGAGGACCGGGAGAAAACCCACGAGGTTGGACAGACAACCCTACTCCTTGTCACGTACAACCAAGGAATCGAAACCACGCTAATTGACTCAATGACAGACCTTATGATACAACGCGCACACGCTAACCATTCGACCCCACCCCACCCTCTCCAAGAAAAAAGAAATGACTAGTCTCGAAACAAAAAATGTAATGTTAATTGTTTCTGGTTTTAGTAACAGTAATATTTTATTAAAGGGACAATAACACTCTTGCTGGCTTGACAGCTCCAGAAAATAAATAATAGCCTTATTCTAAGTATTAGATGTTTAAGTGTCCTACCTGTTGTGTAAATTATCCATTACATCCTATTTTACTTGCCCAGAGGGTTCGAAAATATTTTTAAATCCATAAGACATTTGAAAAGCTTTACGTCAGGCTTTTCAAATCATTTATTTGAATTTTTCCAATTTTTTAAATTAGGTGTATTAAGATGAAATTTGTATCATCAGTTAATTGGAATATTGTAAAATAGTGCAATTTGTTGACCAGAATAAAGATTGGGACATATTATTCAGTTACTACAAGACAACAAGAGTGGTATTGAGCCTTTAAAACATTTGAATGTTTTATCCCTCTTTTCAGTATTTGTGCCGTACGAAAATTAAAACAACGACATTCCAAGCGATGTGAATCGTGTCAGAACAAAATTCAAGACGATTTAGAAGCAGGTTTTCCACATAGTTCAGGGGAGACAACTACAGAATACATTGACGATGATTCGGTTTTCATGGGCGACTATTCCACCCCAGAGAAACGCGAGAAAAACAAGAGGAGGCGGAGGGAAACGACAACAAAAATTAACAAATATGAAGACTTTGAGGTTATCGAGCATTTCTCAGAAACAGAAAATATTCAAAATGTCCTTTCATCTAAGTCTAGAGTTGAAGAAAGGGGGCTTACTCCCGTTGAACCCGGTTATGACGAAGACGAAGCCTATAATGATGTATTAGAAGTCTTTAGCAATAAATGTGGAGATGTGCGCTGTGACAATCGTGCAGATGTTGGTCCAAATCACGCTCCACCACTTCCAAAAAAGTATAAATCTCGAACCGGGAATCTTGATGTCGAATACAAACATAATACTCCCGTCCAATCCGAATACGAGGGCCAAGCGATATACGACTGTTTACCCCTCCCACGCCCAGTCATTCAGAACCAAAGACGGAACTGGCAACGGGCAGACATTAACCCGGATGCTCACCGAGCAATAAACGCTGAGCTGCTTCCAAGTTTTTACCCGAATTCTCGATCGCGAACCCAATCCGAAGGAGAGTCCATAGATAAACCGGAAGAGAATCGCAATGATATTTCAGACTGTCGCTCTAGGGTACACTCTCTATCTGGCGCACGAATATAACACTGGACTAAAATAAGAAAATAGGAGCGGAGCTACTTCTATTTACAGCGTAAACTGCTACGTTTACATCGAGCTCATTTCTTACCCCCACCCCTATTTTACCGTGACGCTGGGTTGTATGTTTGTGTCGCTCCAGACACTCTCTATCTAGCACGAATATAGCACTGGACTAAAATAAGAAAATAGGGCGGAGCTACGTTTTTACAGCGTGAACTGCTACGTTTCCATAGAGCTCATTTCTACCCCCTACCCCCGCTCACGACCCCCACCCTCACCCCTGTATTTTGTTCTATATTCTACTGTAACTATAGTTTGGTGACCGGCTCGCTCTAGCGATACCAATCTCGTTATAGTGGCTGTTAGCCAATTTTGGAGTTTTGGACAATCGTTTATCAAAATTACAATTTTAACTATTTATCTGAGTTATCGTCGTTATTGCTGGAATAAGCCACAAACCGAAGAATACAGCAACACTACGGCGATAGTATCTTGTATATTGTATACTTTATAGTACAGTGTATATTGTATAGTTTACAGTATAGTATATTGTATAGTATATTGTATATAGCATAGTTTATAGTATATTGTATATTTTATAGTATATAGTATAGTTTGAAGTATATTGTATATTGTATAGTTTGTAGTATATTGTATATAGTATATTGTATATGTAGATAGTATATAGCATAGTTTATAGTGTATTGTATATAGTTTATTGTATATAGTTTATAGTTTATTGTATATAGTTAATAGGAAATAAATCGGAAGTGACAGAGTCCGCTGTATATTGTATATTTTGTTCAGCATATTGTAACGTTGCATGTAATAAACTAATGAGTACACTCAAAGGAAAGTGATTGTTATTATTATGCCTTAATTAATCTGATGTATTGATTGTTATAAATTGTTTTATTCATGGGTGTACTATAAAAGTGTGATTGTATTCATTACTGATCATTGCTTGATAAAGATACCTGTAAGGGTACTGAAACGTTGCATGTAATAAACCAAGAAGTAGTAAATGAGAGATTAGATAAAGAGTTGGTAGTTCTCGCTCGCTATAGTAGTTAAACAATAAATAACGTTAAGAGAATATGCAGAAAATTTCAGTCAAATTGCTTCACTCTGAACCGAGATATTAGAAATGTATTCAAATCCATTAAGTTAAAGATACATTATGGGAGATAAGATAAAGAGATAGCAGTTCTCGCTATAATAGTTAAAAACTAGATAGTGTAAAGGTAATTTGCTGGAAATTTCAGTCAAATTGATCCACTATGAGCCGAGAAAGAAGCGGGTGAAATTTTTGCATAGTCTCGGTCATCATTACTAAAATCATTAATATAAACAGCATAGTCTCGGTTATCCACTTTTTCTGATTTAATTATCAATAGCCGTTAGCGGCATATAGGAATCTAATCGAGCCAACATCGAAGGCTAGCCTTGACATCGAGAGTTTATTATGGTCTGGATAAGTTAATTAATGTTTAATTGATAATTTAGATAACATTTCAGGCCTAAAGATAGACTTGTAATAAGCAGATTTTGCTCTTGCATAATGCATGTTTAATTAATGTCTAATTAATAGTTTATATAACATCTCAGGCCTAAAGAAAGACCTGCAATAGGCAGATTTAGCTCTTGGATTATGTGTGTTTAAGGATATTACTATCCTGTATGTTTACCGATGGGCCTGAGGCCTAGGGCTAATGGAATTGAAAATGAGGAGCAACATCGGAGATTTGGTTTTGAAGAAAAAAAAATGTCGGATTGGTGTTTATCAAATACGGTTTAATACACCACTGACAAAATTCATAGCAAAAACAACGAGGAGGGTCGTTTACAATCTGATTAAAACACAGATCCTATTTCGTTTCGTTTCTTATAGTTCAAAATTTCGTTTTACTTGTCTTTACTACACTAGGATCTGGAAGAGTTGTTATATAAGCCGCGTTCTTGATGATGTGAGGGATTAGCCAATGAAAAGATTTGTTGCGGCGAGCTTTTGGCGTGAGGTGCACAGAACTGTGGGTAATCCACTAGAAACGTCAATGCTGATTGGTTAAATCAAATGTCTGACGTCATAGGTTCAAAAGCCGCTCGTATGACCTCTGATGCGACCTCCCAAAACAACTGTAGTGTAGGCCATCGAAAGTATAAAAAAAACGAAACGAAATATAAATCTGTATTTTAATCAGATTTGATCATGGGTTCAGGATCATCATTAATTAATATTTAAAAATCAACTACTAAAGAAAGGGGTTGTGTATATTTCATCATTAGCAGAAAATTAGAAATCGTAATAAGAGTAGGGTGTATTGTCGTTGTCAAGGCAACATTGCATGCAATATGTTTTTCTTTCTGGTTGGTTCAGAACAGAAAGCTGTTAAACACCATTTTACTGGTCTTAAATCGGACAATTGCGGGTCTTTATTTTTACTTCGTATTGGCCGAGAAAGTTCATCCAGATTTTCCGACGTGGTTTCCCCTTGTCAGCGGTGCAGAACGGAGGGCCTGACAAGGACAGCTGTCTAGTCCTTCGGATGAGACGAAAAACCGAGGTCCCGTGTATATATTGGAATGCACGTATAAGATCCCCTGGCAGTTGGAATTCGATATAAGAGTAGGCGACAGTGCCGCTGCCCGGGCAAAACTTCCCTCATAGCACTCTATATGGCGTATGCCCGTCTTCATTAGCCCAGTATAGGAGCAGAACAGTAGGACTTTTAAACCCCATTTCATTTCATTTCATTTATATTATTTAAACATTAATTAACATGACAAGCCCATAAATAGCTCTCTAGGTCATCGGGTGGCTTCGAATTTAAGTAGATTAGAATGCTAGGGTCATTTAATGATCTAATTTAAAAATAATGAAGCGAGACTATGTCCCGAATAACAAGTACAGTTGTTACAATGATAAACAGTCAATGCTACATATTATCAAAATGTCAAACAGTGCTAACTTCGCTCAGAATAAAGTAACTTGAATGAAACTTTCAAGATATTCATATTGCATTATCGATGTAATTATGTATGTATCTATGTACGTATGTATAATGTGTACATGTATATAAATCAGAGAGACGGGTTACACAGTGGCATAGCCTGTTCCCCAATCCAAATCCAGATTTAATGAATAAAAATATTGTTTAAAAAAGAAAAAAAACCATGTACAATATTAGAATTTTGAAAATTTATGTGAATATGAAAGAGGCGTCCATGTTAACTGGCTGTTAAAAGACACTCACCTCTGTATATTTTTTAGTGATTTTAGTGACAATGAAAAAATATCGCGTATGAAAAAAGAGTGGACATTCCTCTCCCGCCCTTTCACCTTCAGCTCCCCCCCCCCGCCCCGAGCATTAATTGACCCTCCCCCTCCACCATCAACCCTATAGATGACAGAATTGTTTTGTTGACGGGAAACATTTTATTGCTTACTTTACCTTTCCACAAGTTTTATTTTGGTTTTATTTAAATATTCTAAAAACAAAACAATAAAAATGGGGTTTAACGTCCACTCGACACAAACTAGGTCATTTCGGGACCAACACATGGTTCATTTTTATTTCTATAATTCGCTTGTGCGTAGTGGTTTTTAGCAGTGGGAGGAAACGGGAGAACCCGGAGAAAACCCACGAGGTTGGAAAGGCGACCCTACTCCTTATCACGTACAACCGGGGATTCGAAACCACGCCAGTTGACTCAATGACAGACCTTATGACAGCACGCACTTGCTAACCATTTGGCCATTCAACCCTCCTCATTTCCGGAAGAACACACGGTTAAATTTTATGTCAATAATTATCCGTTGAGGTCTTTAGCAGTAGGAGGAAACCGGAGGACCCAAAAGAAACGCACGAGGTTGGACAGGCGACCTAATACTTGTCACGTACACGCGAGGAATCGAAACCACGCCATTTGATAAATGGCAGACCTTGTGAATTTTTTGTATATCTTGAAAATCAATAAAGTATGATTGGTGGTCTGGGATCTTACGTCCACGCGACACAAACCAGGTCATTTCGGGACTAACATATGGTTCAATTTTATTTCAATAATTGTAGGTTAGGATAAGGTAAACATTGGGCGCTAGGTCCAGAGTTAGGTTTAGGGTTGGGATTAGCGCTAGCCCTGTTTATATCTGACGAAAAGCTGAGCTGGCCTTATCATTTAGCACTAACCGACTCACACGATAATATGATTAAGATCAACCGACAAAGAAAACAGGAAAATTTCTCCATGTCAGTATTTCATGTTTTTGTACCAAGTACTACACAAATCCGTTCAAAAATAAACCACAAACTTGAAAAATGACAAAATCATTTTATTTACTGTAGAGTTCAGAAGTTGTTGAGTACTAACGGCACGTTTTTGTCACGTGACCTATTGTATTTTACCTGTGAAGACAGGTATTGTTTTATGTAGGTAATTAGTTGAAAGGGAAGCCGACAAGGTCAGGAATTTATCAAGGTGTGGAGACTTATGTTGTTTAAAATGAATTTTGATTTTAAGATGAAAAAATAGACGGATGCGGAAACAATTTGTCTGACAATAATTTATTGTGAATTTATTCATAGTGAATGAGACTTTATATTTAAATAAGAGAGGTCTCTCTGAATTAACAGTGGTCGAATACTTACATTGGATTTATGTGTCTACGAATTAGGATCCGTCGATTGGTTTTATTTAAATGAAATTTGTGCGGCTAAAATTATTTTCTGTAAAACTGTGATGAAGAAATTATAAACTTTAAATTTTAAGACTAGGTTTAATGAACGGCAACAAAACAAAAGGAATTTTTTACATAGGAATAGCAGTAAAACAAAGGAGGTTAAATTCAATTATTTTAATTAGATTTTTAAACCATTTTATTTTAACTTATATTTGAGTGAATCGCGTCTGTTTGATTATGAAAATATATCATTTAAGGATTGTTTGAACCTATTTTTATTAGATAGATTTAACCTTATTTATATAGTTATAATTTAATTTTTCGAATTCTTTGAATGATTATTTATGCCTGAGAAGATCTGTTTAAGTAGTAAAGGAAATTTTCAACTGCTCCTTAGATTAAGGCTCCATCATGATATAAATGCAAGTTTGTCATCTCGTCATAGGTTAAATGTGCATTATAAATTATCTAAGGTGTGAATGTGTATCGCCTCGGGATATATGAAGTAAATGACGTCACCAACCGGTAAATATTAAATCTATTTATAAAACCTAAAAATAGAAGAAGTAAATAATGAACTGTTTGTATAAGAAATATTTCCGGAAGTAGAAACTAACCTGAACTCCTTCTTTAAATTAACATTTTGATAGAATTTAAGGCCAAAAAACTCACAGTTATAACAGAAATTGAAAATATAATGATTTTAATATGTTAAATACATAAAGATTCTCACCTTTGAAATATTTGCCGCGACATATAACCCGAACTCGTTCCTTTTATAAACATTTTGATAGAATTTAAGACCAAATAATTCACATAACAGAAGCAAGCATATACTAAAAGCGGAAATTTCAAATTTTTAAGTTATATTTTTAAAATTTATTAAAATAAAGCCTGAAAATAGATGGTATCCATAAACAGTCCTACCTTGTTTAAGAATAATCCTATTAATCCTATAATTCACTATTGCCAGCTGAGAAATTGGCAAAAATATCATTTTCCTCTTCATTTTCAAACGTTTGGAAAGCTACTCCATGGTGGAGAATAGAAAACAAGGGAGGTAATTGGGAGGTAATTGTGTTATTATTTCCTGTGTAAATGAGTTTTAAGTGTGAGAATGACACCTATGATCGTATAATTGTGAGTTGACAACCTATTGAGCAAAAGACATAGAAATAATTACGTTTTGACTTTCTTAGAAAATTTGAAATTCTCGCTTTAATTTGAATATGTTAAATACATAAAGATTCTCGCCTTTGAAATAATTACCGCGACATTTAACGTTTTAAATTTGCTCCTTTGCGTTCTGTTAATGTTGTAGGAAACTCAATGTAATAAAGAACGAAAGGGGGACAGTCATTAGTTTTACGTAACATCATATCATTCTTTATATTTATTCTTGGGGTTTTATAAAAAAATAAATTGTGGTTTTATAAAAAAAAACCACGGATTTTTGTGACCAGCCATTGAAAGCGATAAGATCGAATAACAGTTACCGTTTTAACAAATTGTTTCCATCTCAAGATTACCGGTATCAAATTATTAGGACACGTGGAGAATTTATATATTTGGTGCCATGTCTTTTTTCTGTCTTGTCCGCAGGTTTATCTTGTAGAATTTTGTTTTGCGTGTAGTGCGGCCCTTCTGCACTTACTATTCAGACATTTCTAGGAGTTTAATTATCAGAAGACAATTTCAGACGTTATCTTAATCCGACGGTTCCTGGAAGAGAATTCTGAAAAGCAATGAAGACGGTTATCAACTTAAGCCTTTTGGTTCTGATTCTGGTCATTAGAATTTCAAATTCAGGTAATATATTTATACTAAAGGATTATCTGGTCTCATAATGTCTAGATCATGTTGATTACAATCTATACTGAGGATTAATGTCTAAATCCTACTGAAATAAAAATGGTTTAAAATTGAATACGCCACCGTTTGAAAAATGAAACCACTTAAACCCAATAAATCAACACGGCATGAAAAAACATCCGACAAACACCGCCCCCCCCCCACACCCCCCCCCCCCAAAAAAAATAAAAAAATTAGCGTTTGTAGATGCAGAAACATGTTATAATGTCGGTGCTTGATTGAGACAATTCCATGTAGATTTTTACGCATTATGGAATTAATCAAAGTACGGTTAGACTTTGGTGTTAAATCTAACGGACGTAAGGGTTCAAGGTTGAAATAGAAATATTTAATATTGATTTATAACACCTGGCAACGTCCAGTGTTTTCATGGAGTTATAACATACTATATTATCATCTTCCATCTTATTGACTACATGTATATCAAATCTGAACAGTTCTTAAAATAAAGATCTAAAATAGAATAATGTTTGTCAATCTGACTAAAGTACAGATCTTTATTTCGTTTCGTTTGTTTATACCTTTGATGGACTCCACTGCATGAAGTAAAGGGTAGTGAAAGCAAGTAAAACGAAATTTTGAACTATAAAAGACGTTATGGGAGATAATCGTGAGAATTATTAGAGAATGTGGGTGGTACCAGAACTCAAGCAGTCAGATTTCATAAATTAATAGGCATTTTCAACAATTGGTATGATTTACGCAAAATCATCTCACATAAGTTTAATATTTATAACCATTTAAATACTATTTCAGCACCATCAACCTACACTATCAAAAGTTCCAGTGTGTGCTATGGTTCAGATCCTCACTGCACACGTCATGCTTTAGGCTGTGGCGAAGTCACTTCTGTTATTGGAATATTCCAAGGCGTATACGGGTTTAAAGCGACTGGTTCGTTCTGTAGAGACGTTTCGGCCTGTTCAACAGTCAATTCGGAAACTTGCTGCTCTAAACAGAAGGGTGATTGTGAAGCTGTATTTCGACCCAATGATATAGAAACGTTGTACAATAATTGTTCTGGCCAGGCTACTTGCGCATTCAATGCTCCCAGATTGACAGCCAAGTGTTCCACCCACACGTATAGAAGTATTTCTGTATTTGCTGATGTTAAATATACGTGTGTTAAAGGTATGTTTATGTAGTTAAAATAGCTTACAGCATATTTTTAAGTCTATAAATTAACGAAAATACGTGAGTACTTATTTAAAACGGCCAAACGATTTTGATAAACATCTGTAAGATAATAGTGAATTAAAATTACAAATAAAATAATTTTAAGGCCAACCCCCAAATGAATTATGACCGTCTTCATTATACCGGTTGCTAGAGAAAAGTAGGACACTGAACACCATTGAACACCATTTTACGAATAAGGCCTTCCATTAGGATTCCGGGGGGGGGGGGGGTGGATGGCTGAATGGTTAGCGTGCGCGCGCTGTATCATAAAGTCTGTCATTGAGTCAACTAGCGTGGTTTCGATTCTCCGGTTGTACGTGACAAGGAGTAGGGTCGCCTGTCCAACCTCGTGGGTTTTCTCCGGGTCCTCCGGTTTCCTCCCACTGCTAAAGACCACTACGCGCAAGCGAATTATTGAAATATAATTAACCATATGTTAGTCCCGAAATGACATAGTTTGTGTCGAGTGGACGTTAAACCAAATTTCTCTTTCTCTCATTAAGATTCCATTTCCTTTGGTTTTATATTACATATTTTACTTTTAAAGACGAAACGGAATAAAGATATAATCTAAATTAGACTAATGAAATCATAGGCGTAATAGCACCATATACGTCGTTCATTCGCTACTCATGGTGCTAGAACCACACGTGGTCCAGTCGGGAGAGAGAGAGAGAGAGAGAAATGGGGTTTAACGTCCACTCGACACAAACTAGGTCATATGGTTTAATTTTATTTACATAATTTGCTTGCGCGTAGGGGTCTTTAGCAGTGGGAGGAAACCGGAGGACCAGGAGAAAACCCACGAGGTTGGACAGGCGACCCTACTCCTTGCCACGTACAACCGGGGATTCGAAACCACGCCAGTCGACTCAATGACAGACTTTATGATACAGCGCGCGCACGCTAACCATTCAGCCATCCACCCCCCCCCCCCCTGGTCCAGTCGGTGGCGGACAGTCCCAATCTGTTTCACAGAGGTAATGCGAAAGCCTTCTTTGAAGCGACCAAGCGAATATTCACAGCTGATCAGTTTGTGACGGAAATCAGCCGTTCATGATCGCAACTTATGGAAGCTCGTTGGAAATCGTCAGATTAGGTTAGCCAGAGTTCAGCAGGTTTTTTTTGTTATTTAAAATCACTGTCTATAGAGAATATTAGTTATTAAAATAATACCTAGTCACCATGTCGTGTAAGATTCTATCATACTCCTTTTCAGATACACAAATAGTTTCATTGGGAGACCGAAAAACCATCATCGGAGACCAGGTATACGTTCAATACCAACCCACGAAATTAGAAACAGGGGCAGACATCGTCGAATGCCAGTGTTTAATAGATTCTAGAAATCGTACTAGCGTTGATATAGACGTCTTCGCGCTAGATATCCGGCTAAATTCCACCCAGGAACCATTGTGTAGCAGTGTTAGTTTTATAAAAAATGGCGACGTGTTGCGAGACATGTCGTGTCGTACGAGACTGTTCTATCATTCCTTTGAGTATCTGTTGAGAACATCGACGCCATTACGAGCCAAGGTGGTCATCAGTAAAACAAGTCTACCTAAAAACATCTGGTTCGGCTTCAGAGGTTTGTATATCATCATCATCAATCATCATCAATCATCATCAGCATCCACGCTTGTATGTGTCAAGGAGTAAGGTTACATGACTATCCTGATTGGATTTCTTTAGGGCAGGCGGTCGGATGGTCGAATGGTTAGCCCGTGCGCGCTGTATCATAAGGTCTATCATTGATTCAACCTACGTGATTTCGATTCCCCGGTTGTACGTGACAAGAAGTAGGGTCGCCTGGCCAACCTCGTCGGTTTTCTGCCGGTTCCCCCTTTTCCTCCCACTGCAAGCGAATTATTAAAATAAAATTGAACCATATGTTAGTCCCGAAATGACATAGTTTGTGTCCTAGTGGGCGTTAAACACCATCTCTCTCTCTCTCTCTCTCTCTCTCTCTCTCTCTCTCTCTATGTGTCTCTCTCTCCAAGACTTTCCGGCGTCGTTTCCCGGTGCCAGTGGTGCTGTACGGAGGGCCTGACAAGGACAACTGTCTGGTCGTTCGGATGGGACGAAAAACCGAGGTCCCGTGTATACATAAGCGTGCACGTAAAAGATTCATTGGAAGTTGGAATTCGATACAAGAGTAGGCTGTAGTGACTTTGTCCAGCCAAAATATTCCTCATAGTACACTGTATGGCGTATGTCTGTCTTCATTAGCCCAGTCGGAGCTGAACAGTAGGCAGTGGCGGCGCCGGTGGGGGGCAAGGGGGGGGCATTGGCCCCTTAACCTTGGACTTTGCCCCAGCTTTGCCCCCCCCCCCCAATCACCGACGGCTGGCGCCGCCACTGACAGTAGGACGTTAACCCCTATTTCATTTCTTTTCATTGATATTTTTAAAGATACCATTTCGTCTTCATTAACCTAATTGGTACCGAATAGACCATTCCCTTCCTCATTAACCCAGTTGGTACGGAACACTAGCACGTAATTAAATCCCTGTTCATCCTATTTTTGGTTTAGGTCATTGAACAGATAATCTAAATTCTATCATTAACGAAGTATATAAATAATCAATCAGACCAAATGATGATTAAAAATATCATCAAGTCGTATTGTCTTATACAAGACAGAACCGATTGTGGGGTTTAACGTAACTGAGGCCAAGTGTCCAAGAAAACCCACGAGGCTGGACAGGCGACCCTACTCCTTGTCACGTACAACCGAGGATTCGAAACCACGCCAGTTGACTCAATGACAGGCCTTATGATACAGCGCGCACGTGCTAACCATTCGGCCATCCAACCCCCGTGTCCAAGAATACCATTTAGGTTAAAGATACAAAATCATCTTAAGGAATTCTGTTTTCTTAGATTTAAAAACAAAACCCAGACAACATATTCACTGTTGTTTCCTGTCAATGCCAAAGACCCCTACGCACAAGCGAATTATCCAAATTAAATTGAACGATATGTTTCTCCCGAAATGTGGGCAAGTCATCTGAGCGTACATGTAATATAACATTTGATAGATGGAATTCGTTCAACCGCCAAAACCCTTGATAAAATTCTTGTAATAAAATGGCGGTAATCAATATAAAATAACAGGATGTTAGTCGAGATGTGGACGAGATATTATTTTATTTTATATATTTCAGGTTTAAATGGAGATGTTAGTTTATCATGTAGTTATTTATCACAGTTTATTGAAACAGGTAAAATAATATTTATAGGCCTGTCTAGTCGTGCGGATGGGACGAAAACCCGAGGTCCCGTATACACATTGGCGTGCACGTAAAAGATCCCTTGGCAGTTGGAATTCGATATAAGAGTAGGCCGTAGTGCCGCTGCCCGGGCAAAATTTCCCCCATTGCACACTGTATGGCGTATGCCCGTCTTCATTAGCCCAGTTTAGGCATCAGAACAGTAGGACGTTAAACCCCATTTCATTTCATTTCATTTCGTAATATTTATAATTAAACCAACCCGGTTTAGGGCATAAGCCGTACAGTGTGTAATGAGGGAAATTGTGCGCTATGGCCTACTCTTATATCGAATTTCAAGCGCCAAGGGTTTATTTCACGTGCACGCCAATGTGTACACGGGACCTCGGTTTTTTTTCTTCCATCCGAACGACTAGACAGCTGTCCTTATATTTTGACGAACTCTTCCTAACTCAGTGTTATATTTTAAAATTAAAGCATGTCATATTATTTTAAAATCTATGAACTTGTAAAGATACATTTTAATATGAAAAGAGAACCTGTTTGTGAATTTTTACAGATTGTATCCTAGTGATGACTGTATATTTCTATTTTATTTCTCTTTTATAACACAGCAGCAGATCATATAACCACACCAAGGGAAGTAACTCCTGCTGTACTAACCAGTCGGTCTCTCGATCATTTGTTTATTCCGACGTCAACAAAACCAACAACAACTCAGCATGAAGCACCAGCCACGACAAGAATAATATCTTCGTCTCTACCCACTGGAAGAGTTATAATTGAAAATAATTTCACGACCCATAGTTACAATATCACCCTGAACGATTCTCGGTCAGAAGATAACATCACCATAACAACCACAACACTACCATATCCGAATATTACAGCAGACATAGGCAACACATCAATAATCAGTGACGTACAAAATATTACCAATGACGTTAACAACATTACCAATGACGTTAACAACGTTACCAATGACGCGAACTACAATAAAAATGACGTCGCCATGGATAACCATGATTTAAATTACGATTTAGAGAAAGCTACTGGTAAGTTGAATTAGTTATTTGCATCTTTTGAACAATTTCTCCAAACGCCAAGATGACAGAGACCAATATGAGTGAATTTAACGATATACCCAAGGGAATTGTTTGACATTGATTGATGCAATTCCCAATTTCACGGGTAGCGAAACAAATTATGAAAAACACGACGATTTCTCCCCAAGGCGACACAAACCTATTTATTGACTGCAAACTGATAAACGTAAATTACACCATTTCCATCAATACGAAACTAAGGCTATGAAAAAAAAGCGAGACTTTATGAGTCTTGCTGCAAGAAAATGCGCAATAAAATCTATAGTTGTAACATACGACTGTCTTTTATTAGAGACATTACGGAGATAAATTACTGGGCAATAAATCGGTAGTCACATGAGAAAAAACACTAAAACCCTACACACAGATAAAATAGTTCAGATCATAAATATATTAACAGATTTTGTTTCTAAACGAAAGACATGGATAGTAATAGCCATGCAAAATAATTAAGTTAGAGTCCGCTTGAAACTTAGGTAGTATCGCAGACAATGTGTAAGATTATTTGACGTCCTTTTATGGAGGGACGTAATATCCGACGTTCCAGGCGTCATTATATGGGCGGTGTGTTTGGGGGGGGGGGGGCGGGGGGACGTAATATTCGACGCTCTTATATAAAGGGGCGTAATATCTGACGTTCTTATATGGGGAGAAACGTAATATTTGACGCTCTTATATGAAGGGGCGTAATATCTGACGTTCTTGACATACATTATGCAAGAGCTAAATTTGATTATTGCAAGTCTTTATTTAGGCTTCAGATGTCATAGAAATTATAAATTAGATCTTTATTTACACAACAAGCACAAAATCAACTCTGTAGACCCACGGATGGCTTGGATTCAGCTTGGATTTAAACAGCATTTGATTGATTGATTAAATTTTTAAATGGCGTCGTAAGCGGAGATCAACCGTTACTTTGACGTCATACTCCCGGAAATTTTAGATCGAGGCTAAATGATAGAGTGTATGAAGCTAGGCCGCTGTTGAGCGAGGCTGTATGTCAGTCAATTTGATTGAAAGTTCGATATATATATACGGCCTTGATATTATGTTTAGTTGTGGTTAAAATGAGAGTTTGGATGTCGGTATTATACGCTCTTTTGTCACTTGCGTTTACAGAAAAAATATGGAAATTGATAAACCTCGCAGCTAACATCACCCCGGTTGAATTGCCGCCCCATTGGATCACTGTTTCCTATTTGTCTGCTTCGGGAGTTACGTAGGCCTACTAGTTAGGCCTACAGTACAAGAGTACACGCAGGCTAACAAGAAGTCAGTCGGCTATAATTATGCCTCATTGATTTGCTCCATTCCTTTCAAACTTTCGCTTCTTATCTATATATTATAAGTCTTATTTTCAATTTGTAGTAAAAAAAAATGTGATACGAATTGAATTGCAACCTCGTCTCAAACCGAATATTAAGTTAACGTCACCACAGCCATTGAAAACGTTACTTGATAATCGAGATTATGTAGGCGGAGTTAACGCCTGTCAATCAAACGATCGACCATTCTCGGAGACGGTGAAGAGAGAGTTGACTCCTATTTTTAGTCAAAAATTACAATGGTGATAACTTTGTTCAGAATAAATTAATTTGACTGAAATTTTCAAAATATTCTTCTTTCATCATCTATTTTTGAACTGCTATAGCAAGAATGGCCAACTCTCTAATCTCCCATATGGTATCTTTATATGGGGGGACCGTAATATCTGACGCTCTTGTATGGAGAAACGTAATATTTGACGCTGTTATATGGAGGGACGTAATATTTGACGCTGTTATATGGAGGGACGTAATATTTGACGCCCTTATGGAGGGACGTAATATTTGACGCCCTTTTATGGAGGGAGGTAATATCTGATGTTCTTTTATGGAGGGACATAATCTATCCATTAGATGTGATTTTAAGACAAACTACCCTTCTTCTAACGGGGCGTTCATCTTTACTTGACCGTTTATTTCAATATCGGATGCCTCTTATATGATCCGCGATATTGGAGTCTAGCCCCGGTGTAACCTTTGACGGTCTTGATAAATCACAAAGGTTCGATCCCCAAAAGCCTAGTGCCACACGAGCTTGATAAATCCTGTAGGTTCTTCCCAGCTTACGCCGGAACCAGAGATGCCAGTGTCCTACTACTACGCGACAACCTCGGCCCTTCGAAAAGAAGAAAAATTCTCCCAATAGTATAATACAGAATCCAGCTCTCAGAATGAATATATTTTTCGCTACTGCAATGACTCACGCTAGTATTATAATAACTCACACTATTATTATAATGCCTCACACTAGTGTTATAATGACTCGCACTAGTACACTAGTATTATAATGACTCATACTAGTATTATAATGACTCACACTAGTATTATAATGACCCACACTAGTATTATAATGTCTCACACTAGTATTATAATGACTCACACTAGTATTATAATGACCCACACTAGTAATATAATATGACTCACACTAGTGTTATAATGAATCATACTAGTACTATAATGACTCACACTAGTATTATAATGACTCACACTAGTGACTCACACTAGTATTATAATGACCAGACATATAACGTTTTTTTTTCTTCTTTAGTTGCCTCCCTGATTGTTACTATTGCACATGTCGTCGGTATTCGATGGAGCATCTTATCTGTATTGTTAATGTTATTATCATTCCAGACATTACTTGTAACACTCTACAAAAAATCAAATAGCAATTTCACAGATTCATTTCAGACTTTATTTGATGTCCTACCATAAAAAGACCAATAACATATTGATACGTGTGAAAATCCATTGATCATTGATGATATATTATTTTGTTGCGTTAACTGAATTAATACACGTGTAAGAATAAGTTGTTATGTGGCATGCCAGCTAGAAACAAGTTTTAAAGTGGCATATCGACTAGAAATAAGTTGTTATGTGACATGTCGGCTAGAAATAAGTTGTTATGTGGCATGCCCGCTAGAAATAAGTTGGTTTGTGACATGTCGGTTAGACATAAGTTATTATATGACGTGCCAGCTAGAAATAAATTGTTATGTAGCATGCCAGTTAGAAATACGTTGGTTTGTATCATGCCTGTTAGAAATACGTTGGTTTGTGGCATGCCAGCTAGAAATAAGTTGTTATGTGGCATATCGGCTAGAAATAAGTTGTTATGTGGCATGTCGGCTAGAAATAAGTTGGTAAGTGGCATGCCAGTTAGAAATAAGTTGTTATGTGAAATGCCAGTTAGAAATAAGTTGTTATGTGGCATGCCAGTTAGAAATAAGTTGGTGTGCGGTATGCCAGCTAGAAATAAGTTGGTATGTGGCATGCCAGCTAGAAATAAGCTGGTTTGTGACATGACGGTTAGACCTAAGTTGTTATATGACATGCCAGCTAGAAATAAATTGTTATGTAGCATGCCAGTTAGAAATGCGCTGGTTTGTGACATGTCGGCTAGAAATAAGTTGTTATGTGACATGCCAGCTAGAAATAAGTTGGTTTGTGACATGTCAGCTAGAAATAAGTAGTTATGTGTCATGCAAGCTAGAAATAAGTAGGTTTGTGACATGTCAGTTAGAAATGTGTATGTGACATGTCAGTTAGAAATGTTGTATATGGCATGTCAGCAATCAGAAAGTAATGTTTTAAAAGAAGAGGCATATTAAGATCGTAAAACCGTTCTTTTGTAGTGAAATAGATATTGAAACCCCTGTATTATAGTTAAAGGGACATTACAACCACTGTGTTGTAGTTAGGGATATTACAACCACTGTATTATAGTCTAAAGGGGGTATTACAATCACTGTATTATAGTTAAAGGGATATTACAACTATTGTATTATAATTAAAGGGATATTACAACCATTATGATATTACTACTGGGCGACGGGGGGGGGGGGGGTATTATTTTAATATTGTCATTTTAGATGTTTTGTATTGGACCCCATGATAAATTTCTGTAAAATCTGACAATGGCGAGCCGCGGTGGCTCAGTGAGTAAAACGTGTTCCTTCCCGGGGTTCGTCAAGAAAGTGTATCTTGATTTTCCGGCGTGGTCCCCCCCCCCCTACTCTGTCTGAAGGGTTGAAAAATCGAAGTCCCGTATACACATTGGCGTGCACGTAAAAGCTGGAATTCGATCGAAATAAAAGTAGGCCATAGCGCCGCTGTCCGGGCAAAATTTGATATTAGAGTAGGCCATTGAGCCGCTGCTCGGCCACATTTGCCCTCATTACACACTGTGTGGCGTATGCCCGCTCTACTTAGCCCTGTCGGACGTTAAAACCCATTTCATTACATTATCTGACAATGTCCCTTTAAAATGCCAATTTGGGCACCTGATGATTATTGTTCATTTGATGCAGGCAAATGAAGAAACCGTATTGGAACTACTTTCAGATTCTTTGCAAATCGTTTCCAAAAAAACATTTTTCGAGGAATGTCATAAGTCAATAAACCGCCATAATGGTCCTTCAATACCACAAGATCGTGTCATAGCTGTCAATATTTCACCAGAAACCACACAGAAATCGTTAATCTTATCTTCTGTAATTTTCTCAGTGAAATGTGTTTTAAATGAAAGGCCGACAAATGGCCTGAAGTTCGTGAAGTTTTTACGAACGAGTAGAAGACGAAAGCTAGAGATTGTTAAAACTGTCGATTAATCACGCAGTTGTCGAGATTAAAGATGGAGTTGGCGACACTGTGACTATTTTATATCGGTTACATGTTATTGTTAGTGGTCTGGGATGGTTTTCTTCAGAACACGTTTTTTTTTTCTTTCGTTTTGTAGAAACCCCGATCTATAGGATGAAAAAAAAAATGGAAACAAAAAACGCTAGAATCTGAATATTGATGTATATTTGACGAATGTAGAGAGACTGAATGGTGACCTTTGTGACATGTTTGATGTACAACAAACACATTAAACAAGAATCAATTTTTTAGTTTAAT